GCAGTCTGGTTGGGGAGCAGAGGGAGTCGGGAGCCCAGATACCCGTGTTCTCTCCCAACACTTGGCTGGAGATGGGGGCAGATGCATTAGAGCAGGGGGCTGGAAGCCCGGACACCTGGGTTCTCTTGCTGCTCCAGGAGGCGAGTGAGGTGTGGAGGGGGTAGTACTTGGGAGCCCAAACACCTGGGCACCTGGGTTCTCTCCTAGCTCTGGGTTCTCCCTCTGCTCTAGGTGGGGAGAGCCGGAAGGAGAGGGGGGAGTTGGGAGCCCAGAAACCAAGGCACCCCCCAGGCCTGAAGTAGGCACCTGCTCACCTGAGGTCATTTTTCAGCTCCACCACCACATCTTTGCCCACCAGGGACTTGAAGAAAGAGTAGAAAAGCTGTGGAGGGGAAAAAATGGCAGGGCTCAGCCTGGGACAGGCACACAGCGCCCCCCGCCACCCCGAGCACAAGGCTGAAGCTGGTCCTTTACTTCCAGGTCCTGGTCCCTTTCCCAGACCCAGTCTTTATGCAGCTGAAGGTTGTTAGCAGCAAAGTAGAGCAGCCAAAGAATCCAGGGGCACCAAAACTATCTATTTGCTTATGACAACCTAAAATAGCATCATGCCTCAAAGACAGCCCCAAAAAGACCTGATCTGCAGCTGGGTTTCTGGGGTCAAATCCTCTCCAGGTTGCCCCAAACCACATGTCTTTACCACCATGGCATGCTCTGAACAAGTCCGAGCAGGGCCCTGTCCCGCACCAAGCTCAGTTCTTGCGCCAGCGCTGCCCGCCCCCAGCCTGGGCACTGTGGGCGCCTGCACACAATGTTGGCTTTTTCTAGCTAAAGATAATCTCCGGGTTTATTTCATTCTCACAATGTACTACAATGATTCCCGTTACTATTTTGCACGTAACGTGTATAACACTCAAAATTCATTAATGTACTGTTACTAGTAAAAAACGCTAGACACATCATAACAATTTTAACCCTCCCGATCTTCTACTACTAAATCAACTACTAAATCACAGCAGGGGGCAGGTTAGCAATGAAATTTGTGATTGGTTTAGTTTTTTTGTTTTGTTTTTTTGCGGGGGGGGGGGGTGGCGCTTTGGGATAGACTCCTCCTACTGCCCCAATTTTCTGGCACTCAACGATGCATTTTCAGGTGCTCTGCCCAAAAAACGTACTAGCCTTGTCAATTTTGGGGACATGGAGTGAGACTGGTTAGCTTTTGGTTGCAGTTCCATAAACACCACCCCCTGCACAGCAGCCAGCAGGCAGCCGTCAGGAAGTGGAGGGCTTGGACCACGTGGTCCATGTGTGGCATTCTCTCGTTGGCACAAATTTTCTGCAGATTCGTAAAGCATTTTCCAGGTGCTCATCCCGAGAAATATACTGGCTTGGCCAATTTTGGGATACAGCAGCAATTTTATAACAGTCACTTTTGGGTTTGGGGTTTTTTTTTTTTGTTTTAAACTTTTCTGTCCAAGCCAGATTATGGTCCTTTTTGGTAGGGGGAAGTTAAATCTGACTGTGCCATTGTCCCATCAGCATTTTCACAGTTAGGTTATTTGCATGCCAATTCTGGCTTCCTGCAGTTCACATTACTCCGATCCCCTGCTTTGATTACCTGCCTCTTGGGTGGAGGCAGACCGAGATACAGGACTAACCACTTCTATTTTCCCAGACCCATGGTCTGGTCTGGTCTGGTCTGGTCTGGTCCTCCTGTCCAGAAATTGTTTTGGCTGAACCCTGCCTGCCTGCCTGCTGACAACCTGACCTGCTTATCACAGCGATGACCGTAGCCCTTCCATGTCCAAACTGTTGTGGTGCTAATCAGGCACCTTTTTTTTTTTTCCCCCTTGTACTGTCCCCCGAAATCTGATGCCACTACTGATTTCTGCCACTCACCCACACTGTGCCAACCTAAACCCTTTTTCTTTGTATTTTAGACCTTTTACTTATGAAACCTGTCACAACCCAAAGTTGTGGTTTTTTTGTTTGTGTGCGCTTCGGCACCGCTAAATTATGTTCCTGCTAAATTGCAGCTCCTTTGCATGGTGGAGTTTTTGCTGCAATAGGAGAGCCCGCGTGCAAAAGAGTATTTCCCGCCAGTTTGTAGCCTTCTTTGCATAGTGCATTTCTTTTGCATCATGGTGATGCACAATGCAAAGGAGTTCCCACCATTTGTATTTAGATTCGCACCACATTATTGGCCAGATCTAAATTATACCCACGTGGCGGCTAGCTATTGGCTTGCTAGCCGTACAAAAGGCTTGTGTGGTTTCTGCCCAAGTTGGAGGACTCCACGACTACCAGGAGAGAGATAGACAGAGAGAGAGAAGATCTCTAAGTGCTGCGGATCCTTGCGGACCCAACGCGCCTCTCTTAAGAAGGCAACAGAGGCTTAACAACTCCGGGGCCCAATTTACCGAACCCACGGAGCTTCACCGAACCCGCAGAGCCTTAACCACTCCGGAGGCCCAATTTCCCAAAGGGCCCTTAGCCTCTCCCCGTCGCCGGGCACGATCCTAGACGTATCCCTATCCTATATACCCAATTTTCGAACCCACGGAGTCTTAACCGCTCCGGGGGACCTGGGAACCAAACAAAACCCACGGAGATTCAGCTACTTCGTGAGGAAAGAATTGCCGAACCCGCGGAGCCTAAACCACTCCGGGGTCAAGGAACCGAGTTTGTCAGAGTCCTCCAACGAGGATTCAAACGGAGCTGCGCCTGGAAAGCTGTCCAGCCTACACCGCAACCACCTTGGGTGTAAGCAAATAATCTTTTCAATCAACCACTACGCCTCTGTAACTGATTCTAGCTCACGCGTACCCTACCGCCCCGCGGTTTTCTCTGGCCCCGCGTGCCCAGGCTGCTGGCCACAGCCTGTGTGCACAAAGACGGGCCCGGCTCGCACACGGGATCGGGAGCCGGCCCGCACAAAACCCTGGTTTGACACTTGGGCGGGCTAGAGAGATACCATGGTAATTTTTTTGACGCAGTACCTGTATGTGTTTCAGTCCTTGCAGTTTCCCCCCACACGCACACACTTGTCCCCAAGCCCCACCACCTTCCACCCACCACTGCTCTAGCTCCAATCTTCAGGCCTCCCATGGCCTTTTGCTTAAAATTCCTTTCTCCTTCAGGTGCCTGACTGAGCACCCCAGACCCATCCCCTGTGTACTGCACCCACATCACCCAAGCACCCCTCCATCCTGCACTGAGGATGTCTTCTTCCTTTCCCATCCCAGACCCCTCCCCATTCCAAGCACAACCACCAGATCCCATTACCAAAGGTATCCAAACCGTTTATCAGAAACCCATTATTGAATTCAAAAGTTATATGAAATAAAATTAAAAAAACCCCATGCAGGTACACAGGAGCATGAAGCCTACCAGTTTTACAGAGCACCTTCACCCACCTGAGCAGCCCTTACATGTGCCGCCAGGCAATTTCTCACCACAGCTGCCCTACCACTGTCTAATCCCCCTCCTTGTCCTGCTTGACTCGGTCTAGATCTGGCAGCTCCATGGGCAACTGGTGCCTCTTGAGTCGAGGGGGGCACATGCCTCCCCTGACACCAGTCAGTGACCAGGGGAGGGAAGGGGGGGTGGCGGTCGCCCCATGGTCGATCTCACTCACCAAAAAGCAGCTGCACTGCTTCCGGAAGTCCTGTGGCCACTTCCAGAAGTGGCGTGGCCGCTTTTGCTGACAGCCCCGCTCCCCAGCCGGCGCTTACAGGGGGGGCGGTGCTGTTCCCGCCTGCCCCCCGTCCATCGCCTAAACACAGAGTGCGGCCTGACAGGGAGTGCACCAGCACTCTCAGGGGTGCACGTGCACCCCCCATGCGTCACCACTGGGCAGCTGCTCTCACTTCCCTCAATTCTTGGGCCCAAGACCCACTGAAAATTTCACCCCACGTTTCACAAATATTGTGCAGCACGCAGGCTTCCACTATGAAAGCGGTGATATTCTCTGGCTCTACCTCCACCCTGTAGTTCAGCAACCTCCACTGGGCGTTCAGGCACCCAAAGGCACATTCTACAGTCATGCAGCACTTGCTTAGGCAGCAGTTGAAGGTCTGTTTTTGTGGGTCAGTCACTTGCTCCTCGTACGACTTCATGAGCCAGGGCAGGAGTAGATAAGCTATGTCAGCAATTATGACGGGTGGCACTGAAACACCCCAGATGACAACCTCCTCCAGTCCTGGGGCATCTTGGCCCTTCTCCACCATCCCAGGCAGCAGTGAGTTTCAAAAGACACGTGCATCATGGGCGCTTCCTGCCCATCCTGTGCAAATGTTAGTGGATCACCAAGGAAGATTTACTACAGCTTGGAGAACGAGTGAAGGAAATCCCTTCCTGTTGATGAATGACTAGTTGCTCCGGCACAGTGACAGGACGGGAAGGTGTGCGCTGTCCAGTGCTCCCATGCAGTTTGGGAAGCCCATTGCCTTGAATCCTTCCACCACCTTCCTGGGGTTACTGGAGGAGATGAATTTGTTTGCTGCAAGCTCCTGCAGCAGCTCACAGACCTCTCTTACAGCCACCCCTGCTGTGCAGGGAGCCATGCCGAACTGATTTGCCACGTGGCGCAGGCTTGTTGGAGTGGCCACTGTCATGGCCATCGTGAAAACACGCTTCTTTGGGGTGATGGGCTTCCACCTGACAGTTGTCTGGCGCTTGATGTGCAGTGACAGCATACTAACAAGTGTGAAAGAAGGTGCCCCTGCTCATTCTCAATGTCTCTAGCCACTGATGTGACCCAAGTCAACATCATGTTCCCACCAGTCAGAGCTGCTTTCATGTGTCCAGATCTAGTGATCGTTGCTATTAAGGTCTGGCCAGAAAGTTGCTATAGTCTAGGGTTACCATAGGTCCAGCTTTTCCTGCACATCCTCTTGTTGAACCCTCTGATCTCCAACCAGGTGAGTTGTTTAAATTTGACCAAATGTCTGGGATTTTGCTTTGCTCCACTGGTGGGAGCAGGGGGAGGGCGATCAGAGGCAGCAGGGAGCACAGATGTACCTGCCTGCAGCTGCCAAGGCATGGGCAGACCCACGTGGTGCTCCCTGCTGCCTCCGATCGCCCTCCCCTTGCTCCCACCATGCCTGAAGCACAGCAAAATCCCAGACATCTGGGGAGGGTTGCCTGCCCCTCCAGTGGGGGGAAAGGGGGAACTCTGTGGCCAGGCACCTGTGCTCACAGGGGCTGAGCAGCCAGGAGCCACGGGGTGGGGGCAGGGGCCTGGCCAGGATGCCTAGCAGGGCACTGAAGCTCTTTCCTCGGGCAAGGGGTGCCACAAGCTTCGCCTCCTCTTCCCTCCAGTCCATGCTGGGGCTGGACATGCTCTGCCATCGCTTGCATGAATCAGAGTCATCATGTTCCAGC